TCCACTTCCGGGTACTCTGTTTTCTTAGGAGATAATTTGGTTTCCTTGTCATCAAAACGTTAGCCAACCATATCTCGATCAAGCACTGAAGCAAAATACCGTGGGGTTGCAAATGTAGTTGCCACATGAGTTGGTTACGCAACTTACTTATTGAACTTTATGTTCCCATTCGCAAGGCTACAACTGTTTACTATGATTATATATCGACTGTATACTTATGTGAAAATCCCGTACAACGTCAGCGTACAAAACATGTGGAACTTGATATTCATTTCGTTAGAGAAAGGGTTAGAATTGATGCAGTCCGGGTTTTACATGTTCCAACCGATTTTCAGTACGCCGACATCTTCACAAAAAGGGCTACTGCATCATCTTTTCCACCGTTTTCGGTCCAATATGTGCATTCGTCCTTCTACTGCTCAGACTGAGGGGGTGTACTAGCTGTAAACTTGTTGTATCATTTTTAGAGTTAGTCATATCTATTTTAGATTGTTATTTGGTAAATGATCCCCCCTAAATGAGTGGAGATCAGTTCCTGATTTGTAACTTCTCCTTTGTATTTATATTCGAATGTTTGTGAATAAAGATCATCTTGGGAAATACATTTTCTTTCACATAGGTCTTCTATATGAGTCAATGATGGAGCATGACACAAACACTGATTGAGTCTTCTTACCTATCTACATTGCATTTCCAGCTATAACATCCTTGATAGTTACTTCCTTTCAAGACATTTTCAGAAAAATATGAGAGAAACATAGTCTTCTATGTTATCAGACCGTAGGTTTATGTTCAATATGATCATGACCATGATCTCATATCTTGCTTCATAGTATAGGCACTTGATGAGTTAAGAATGGCCATTTGTAGTCATTCACAAACATCTTCATCTTGTTGTGTTTGGCATTAATGTTGGAGTATCTATAGTCTAGACCATGTCTATGATTTGCTCTTCAAAAGGCAACTCATCAAATGGCTCAGCAGATTGTGCAATTGCTTCTTTTCTTATTTCTTTTTCACATAGATTAAAAACAATGGATATTTGGATAAAAGCAAGTTATGTTAACTTTTCAATCTTTACCAAATATCCATTTAGAAGAGAATTTTAAAGGACTCACTACTGATAATATAATTATGATTTCATTTTATTAAGGTTATATTTGGTAAATTAGTAGATAAACTTTTAGGTGATAAGTTAGTTGTTAGCTTAGCTGATGAAGAAATCACGTTTGGTAAAAACTAGTTGATAAGCTAGATGAAAATGTAAAATGATCAAAAAAGACATCTTAAAAAATTAGTTAATTACAACGTTTTGTAATATAATTAAAACATATCCCTAATAATATAATATTTTATTTAATATAAACAAAATAGTAAAGAACTTTTAAAATCGAGAGCGAGACCAAGAGTTCTAGAACAATTGAATGGAAGAACTTTTAATAACTCATGTTGAGTATGAGTTTGAATCTCACCTTGGGGGATGGGGAGAAGGCATAGAGGTATGATAGGGTGAAGACATGAGTAAAATGTATCAAAAGTATCTTGGGAACATGAAAAAAATATAATAATGTGCATTGGTAACTTACACTATATGTTATTTTAATTGTAGATTAAGATATTTTAAGACTAAATACATAAAGTAGTAATATTTAATGCATTATGAGTTGTTTTTAGACTTTTAAGACTTTGTGCATAAATATATAATACTTTGTGCATTAAAAATTGTTTTTAAGACTTTTTGATAAATCTGGTTTATAAGGTAGTGTAGATATGAATAAAAATAAAACTGGTCAACCTCACATATCCTAATTAATCTATAACCTTTCAAAAAAAATATAATTTATAATTAAATTAAGTATTTTATTAAAATCATTTGATATACAATTTTATTATGTATGAAGCAATGTTAGTATAACTTTAATTTTTATTTAACTTGCATAAACATTTTTAAATTAATACATTTGTTTTTTGCTGATTAAATATATTGAACAAAAATACTAATATAAAAATATTGATATGATTAATAATAATTATAAATAATTAATGGGGGTCGTTATTTGCCCCCACGACTATTAAAAAGTCAAAAAAGACCTAGTAATAACATTAAATGGTCTAAAAGTTTGAAAAGTTTTTTTATCTCTCTTATGTCCACTCCTCTCTCTCTTACTTTTTTTTGTTCTTTTAATTAACAGATAATAATAATTATTAGTCTATAGTAATTATATTATATATTAATCATATTTAAAACCAATAAATTGGGAAGACAATAAGCGTTGTTATTTATTAAAAATAATATATCATTTATTTTATAATTTTACAAGTTTTAACCATATGTATATGGTCGTATAATCTGTCTTTATAAAAATCGAATAAAAACTTTAAAAATTCATATACAAATTATTAATTTTCATTTTATCTATATTTTCATATAACATATCATTAATACTTCTGCAACTTTAAAAATTCAGAAAATAATTCATCAGTTTTTCTGACTTTAAAACTTAAAATGTAACTAATTAATTCTTATTTAAGTTTTTGAATATTCAAATAATAATTTCATCAATTTTCAGCAATCTTCTAAAATTTAGATAATAACTCGTCCTTTTTTTATTATTAAAAATTCAAATATAAATTGTATTATGTTTTTTTATAAAAAAATAATATTGTTATAATAAAAATATACAGAAAAGAAATTTTGAAAACTTAGAAGAAAAAAAATTGACTTCTTGAAAATGTTAATGAACTTAATGTTAATTTAATTAACTTAATATTAATTAAATGAAGTGATATATATTACTATTACTATAAAAAGGGAAGTGAAATTTGTATTTTCATTCACAAACAACCATTTCAACATTCTCTCTTTACGATTTCAAACTTGTTAATGGCTAGTTGGAAAAACGATTTTTCAATTTTATCGAGATTAGAATGTGAGGTAAATTCACTTACTATTTGCGATATATTTTTACTTACTAGTTTGTAAAATATAATTTTTATATGCATATGTATGTTTAGGAATACGATATTTACACAAATCAAACAACTTACGGTGACGATTTGCATTTTTATCAAAATTCCAATAATAAGGTATTTTCATTTTACTATTTTGTGACATTCTTCACTTACTATTTTTAATATAGTTTTTTGCATGTGTATGTTTAGGAATATGATATTTACACAAACCAAGCAACTCAAGGTGAAAATTTGCATTTTTATCGATTGGGTGCAAAAGTTGAGACGTTCCCTTGGTTACATTATTGTCACGAAAAGATCCAAGACAAAACGAAGTGGAGTCATGTCTGAAGTTATATTAATATGCGATTGTGGTGGTAAATACAGAGGTAATTGTAGTTCTAGTAGACATACTGGAACTAAGAAAATGGACTGTCAATTCGAGTTAGCAGGAAAATATTCGTTAAGAATGATTGTTGGACATTAACAATGATATGTGAAAAACAAAATCATGAACCTGCAGAAGATATGGAAGGTCATCCATATGCAATGCGATTGATTGAAAACGAAGTTCGCTTAGTGGAAGATTTGTCAAGGAAGAATGTCAAACCACGTGATATTCTATCAACATTGAAGGAGCAAAATCCAGATAAAGTGTCTACACTCAGAACAATATACAATGTACGCCGAAAATTTTGGGTGACCAAACATGAAGGTAGAACTCAAATGCAAGTTGTCATGTCATTTCTGTAGAAAGAAGACTACATGCATGAGGCGCGTGCAAATACTCTAATCAGTTGGAAGATTTATTTTTCATTCATCCAATATCATTGACATTGTGACGTGCATTTTCACACATGTTGATAGATGCCACGTATAAAACGAACAGGTATAAGATGCCCCTCCTTGAGATTGTTGGTGTATCATCAACTAATGTGACTTTTTGCAAAACATTTGTTTTTATGCATAAAGGAAAAGAATCCAATTATACATGGGTATTGAATTATCTCAAAAAGACAATGGACGGATGTGCATCTCCACGTGTTATCGTGACCGATCGAGAGTTGGTGTTGATGAAAGCATGTAATTAGCAATGGAACTGTGGATTTTGAGCGATAGCTGTTTGTCTCGGTTGCCAAGAAGATGAATGGTCATCTATTCGATATGATTTAATGGAGGAGTTAAACATGTATAAGAAAGAATATCTCAAGGTGTATGGCATTGAACTATGGCATCAGCTTTATAACTCCTTGAACTTCTTTGAGTTGGACTCATTTGCACCAAATGAGCATTGAATGGATGTTTTTGAAATGGGTTTGTTGATTGCTTCAAGATACAATGTGATACTACATTCTTTAACAACTATAGGTAGTTTGATATTCTTTTCACTTCGATCTAGTCCTCCGCCTTTGTATGAACATGTTGCTTTTACAATTGGGTATGTTAACAGTAATCAATACATCAAAATATTTTGATAAAAGGGCACCCATCGTGCCAAATTGGTTTCATTTCAAATATGACTGCACAAACGCATGGACTACTCCGTACATGACACGAATAAATAAGTGCAAACAACTGTTATCTAGTAATCGTACTACGAAATTTATTTCACTTGATTAAGTTATAATATTTTCAGACCTTTTGTACTTTATTTGTTGATTTATCAATTAACTTATTTTGATAATCTTTTTTGCATTAAATTATTTTATCTTTGTAGCTTTAAATATTTAATTAAAAAAATACATATATAAATTATTAGTTAATTAAAACGTTAGCAATACAATTATAAAAATTAAAAATAATTTTATAGTTATTTGAATTAATTTAGAAATAATTAGTTGGCAAAAACTTATTATAAAAATAAATTTACAAGACATAATTTTTTGAAAAAAAAAATTAGTTGACTTTGACTTAGACTTAAAAGGATAGGGGGACTAATATCAATGTATCATTAAAATCAATTAATAAATTTTTGGTGTCAGTTAACGCTCACCAATGAGACCTGGAGAAGACTGCAGCTACAAAAAATCTACAATGGACTTGGAAGTGCTTGAGCAACCATTTGGTACGAGTAGCATTCAAAACGCATCTCATCATGTTCATTGTGTAAAACTATACTCCTTTTTGGGTCTAAAAGATGACCCACAACTTTAAAAGTAACCTTTCGATACTTGTTTTTTTTCCGACTCAAACGGGTTGCGTTGCGGTGGTGTTTTGTAGTTGAAAGAATTTCTGTAATACCGAAAGGGGCATGTACGTAATGGTAATGCCTAAAAAGTTGATTCCTCCTACATATATATAAGCTGTGATGTGATTATTTCATTACAACAAACAATACAAAATTATACCTTGAAACAAAAGGATTGGGGTTTTCTTCTTCCACCGTCTTTCTTGCGTTGCAATCAAAATAAAATTCCGGTACACTTAATTGGCAAACCGGAAACATATGTACAGCAATTAACCTGCAAGTAAAACACGAATCTGAATTTCGATACACGATAATTGAAGAAACAAGATCATCAACCCCAAAAGCACGAGGTTTAGGCTATGTTAGGCAAATCAACGGCTGATATGCTGGTCATGTTAACTTAAAAACTAGTTGTTGGCTAATAAGTAATAGCCGTTAGCCAAGAACTAGTCACGTTTGATAAATAAAAGTAAACAAAAAACAAAACTACTCCCTCCAACCCAAATAAGTATCTACATTACTGTTTTACTTTGTTCCAAAATAAGTTTCCACTTTGAAAGTAATTGTCTACTTCCCCATTCTACCCTTAATTATGGGACAGAAAATTCTCTCCTATAATTAAGAGCAAAATTGTGGTTCTGTTGGTTAAAATGTGTAATAATTACACATTCCTAAAACTGTACATCTTTTTTCATTGTGGGGATTTATTTTGCGAAGGAGGGAGTATCTAATAAGCTAGATGATAATGTAAAATAACCAATAACATGTTGAAAAATTACTTGATTCTAACACAAGGGACAAAAATTGGGAAAAAAGTAAAAGTATTCACAAAAACTTATTGAAAAGCTATTTGAAGTAGTTTTCCAAAAAACTAGTTTGGAGCAATCTTGAATGGCAAATGCTACCTCTACCAGAAGTCATTTTATCAACTACACTCCAATACCAAGAAGCTTCCCAATGACTTTTTAATGGAGAGAGAGAGGAGATGCTTAAAAGCTTTGTAGACTTTGAAAAGAGCTTTTGCAAAAAAGCCTTCCAATCCAATGCTAAATGACTCGAGGAAACAGGAAAAAGCTATTAAAAAGCTTTTCCCATTGGAGATGCTCTTATGTTTATTTACCCCGTTTTTTAATAAGCTCAAAAATAAGCTTATTATGGCGAAACAAGGTCTTGGTTACTCAATCCAATACCTAACAGATTTGATTTGACGACTGGATGGACATATGGTTACATGGTCATGTTAGCATGGCAATAAACGTAGCCCTCGTGTGATTCTCAAGGTGTGAGCTTTTTCCATCCCCAATGTTATGGTCCTTTTTTCTTCCGATTGTACTTTTGCCGTCTATTTTACAGCAAACCGGCAAATGTTGAATATCAGTTTGACAGTAATGACCACATTCACTCACCAGAGAATTACGTTGTGAAGGATTCCACAAGTATGAGTTGTGAAAATCTCCAATGGGCACCTTCATGTAAGTAACAGAACGTCTGTTTGACTTGTTTGTGGGGTAGCAGGTTTCGTTAATGGTCTCAAAGTGTCCATGATGGCTGAAAAGGAAGGCCTCTTCCATGGCTCACTGCAGAATCAAATTTTGATTGATTAATATTTGACTAAAATCAAGTCGGTAAACACAAGACATTTGAATCTTTGAACTTACTTGGCCCAGCAGGCTTCAATCAATGCTGATACTTGAGGGTTGACGTCTCGAGGAATCTCAAGCCTCTTGCATTTAAAGCCTACAGCTGCCACAACCTAAAAATAGATGTATAATAAACACATGCATTAATAAATGTAATTTCAGGCCCCACCTCTGACTGAGTGAGATATACCGGGTTAGTTTGGTTACTGTCCTCATTGGACGGATGTCTTAACATTTCTATCATATATTTGTTGTTTTGGATCAAGATTACCTTTGATTGTTTTCCACTTGTTCATTCATTTTGTTTCAAAAATTCAACCAAAATGCTACTCTCTACGTCCCAAAATAAGTGTCCACATTGCTATTTATGTTTGTCCCAAAATGCATGTCTAGTTTCAAAAATAGAAACTAAATTTCCAAGTCTACTTTGCTATTATGAATGCACAAATATTTAAGAGCTGATAAGATTGACAAATTAATTAAGGGTAAAGTTCACTAAAGTGAAGTTACTATGCATGTCTAAAATTATGTGCCATTTATATCGTGGGTACTTGTTTTGGGATGGAAGGAGCATCTGGTATGAGGTTCAACTTGTAAGCTGCTCTTTTGTCACTTTGAGGCCGCCATCACTATATATTTTATAGCATGGTTGTTAGTAGTAAGTTTCCTTTGCTATTCTTTACATAAACTTGAATCTTCCTTGCAAATTATAAATTTTTCATGTTATTTTACTTGCACAATACAAGAGTTGGATGATTTGAGTACTGGTGAACTCAATTGAAGATCAACTTCATTTTCTATATAGATAAAAGCTGAATAGCAAAGAATGGAAAGCTATACATCCTTGGAATGAGGTTCACCCAGATTTGCTTTAAAAACGTGTAGTTTCAAGACATTATTTATTCAAAGCCATTTCGTGAAGTCTTTAGCCTGCCAAGTAGCCACATACTCGAAATAGATCAACTATAACAAGAATAAGGAAGTGAAGAGCTCTAAGTTTCAACAATACTAGAAGTGAACTCATGCGATACAGCAGAATGTAAAACTTCATTCTATCCGAAAACTGAATCGTTTTAAATTTATTTTTTATGATTTTTGTTTTTTGGAATGGATCAATTATGAGACGAGGTTTCCAAAAATCTCAAATACTTTGTTGTTTATTTGGTTGATTGACCTTATATTTGGAGAGGGTAGTAGAGGCTTCCAAAAACTCTGTTCTTAACATTTAAGAAGAACATAATAAGAATATTTAAAAGTTGAAATATTTTGTATACATTAATAATTTATACAATGTTTTATAAGTTGTACCCTTAAAAAATTAAGAATTTTCAAGAACAAAATCCTAAATGCTTTATAATTTAGTATAGACTAGAAGGGTACTCGTGCAATGCATCGAGATACATCTTGATTTCAGTATTTCGTTTTATTTTTTTTTATGTCGATATAATACGGTTTTATGTGGTTTTTAGAAAACGATAATGTTTTTATTTTTGAATAAAATATAAATTTGAAAATATTATATAATTTTGAAAAAAAAATACCGATATCAGTATCAAATTAACCTTTTTAAAAGTTCTTGTGTTTTGGTGTAATTTCCTTAATTCAATTTTTTAATTATAATTTAATTTAGGTTTAGTAACAAAGAAATTTAATTTAGGTTTAATAATATATTTTTTTATAAAGAGAATAATTAAAGTATTCTGTTAGAACTCAATAATTATCCTAATTATATTTTATATTTAAAATTAGATGTTTATCCAATATTTGATTATGTTCATCTGCAGTTAGTTACACGAATTCAAATATGAAGCTTTAATAAGTTGTACTTATGCACAATTTACTTGTAATCATAGATTTTAAGTAATGTGCATCAATAAACAATACTTCATGCATAAAAAATGGTTTTAAGAGTTTTTGTCAAATGCTTATATAATATAGTATAGATAAGATAAGTAGAATCTTGTGGTACAAACCTGTGCTGGATTTAGATTACCCCAAGGTTGCTGCAAAGTGGCAAGCTCCCACAAAATCACCCCAAAGCTGTACACATCTGATTTCTCGTTCGAAGGTTCATCACGAAGAACTTCTGGTGCCATCCACTCCGGCTATTTTAATAGAAAAGACAACCAAACAGCTTACAGAAAAATCATAGTAGGCTAAATTCACTTGAATAAGATAGAATCGAATAAAAGGGAACTCACTGTTCCTGCTGCAGTCTTGGATGAAAGAAACGTGTTTGCTTTTAACCTTGAAAGGCCAAAATCACAGACCTGAAAAAGTCAAACAAGTTAATTGAGGACACTACTGCATCTAACATAGAAGTCCGTGAGCTTGATGCATAAATTATATAGATTAATCATAGGAGGAAACATGAGTGGTGTAAATGAATTTTGCATGTCTGCAATTTCTTTGCATACTTCATTGGTTCCTTCTGGGGATTTGTTTTTGTGTGTGTGTGTGTGTTTTTCTTTTTTGTTGGGGGGTTGCCTCTAGGAGAACATTTGGAGATGTGAAAATGCATGACCAGAAACAGCCACAACCACATAGACAAGTAATTGCTTACCCTTGTTTCTTTTTCATGTTAACTGTAAGTGTTTATGTACAACATTAACCTGCCAACCCAGCCCAACCTGCAAGGGTTGGGTTGGGTTGGGTTGTATTTTTTAAAGGGTTGGGTCGGATCAATAAATTCCTGAGCCACCGTAATAGCGTTGGGTTGTTAAAACGGCACAAACCGGCCAACCCAAGCCGTGTCCACCCCTAATAGACATGCTTTCATCTTGCCAAGCCATGTCATAATTGAGTGCAGGTCCCTTGGTGCTCAACATCTTACAGATGGAAAGGTCAAGTTCAGGCCATAAGGGAACATCTAAGTGAACTCTCTGCATCTAAGCTATTATCAGCAATACCACATTGCAAACCATTGTAATACGAGCAACAACAAAGAAATGCCATCTTTTAACTTGTGCACATATTTCATCTATAAACAAAATCAATTGCCACCAGGAAGAGATTCTTGAAAGAATGCTAGATCAACAACCTATGCGGTCAAAAAGACCCAGCCTCCACTCAGTATTACCTGATAAGATTGACCATTAACAACTGTAGCTTATACATTCCCCTGTCTAAGAGGGCCAAATTAGGAACAGTTTGGCAGAAATTGCAACTGCCAGCTTTACCCCTATTACTTAAACCAAGCTTTCGAACCATTCAAAAGAAATTGTCTTACAAGGCTTGGCAGATAGAAGCAAGCCGTCTCACAGTCTTGTTTCATGTACCAGAATCTGAAACCTGATCATCATTAAATAATAACTTCTGTCCTATATTGAAGGTCCATGAAGCTGGTCTATACTGTCACCTATATTTATTTTAATCAACCATGATATTTATTTCATCACTTCCTACAGGTATCCAAACTATCTACTTCCCTTGATTTCCAGTTCAACCGTTCTACTTGCTTCCATTTCTGTGGTTTAAAGCCAGCAGTAAGTCATGCATGCTGACATGCTTGCCCAATACACTCAAAGTCACAATCTATGCATATAGTGACACTTCGCCGAACATAAGAGCCTCCCCTAGATCCACCGAGTGACAGACTTCAGCAACAATGAGAATATCATGTTGTGCTAAGTTAAAGATTGCTGTTGCTGACTGATTTTGATGCCCATGAGTCACTCACATTCCAACAATTACCTATCCCGGTAGGAGGAGGAAAAAAGGCGGAGAACATTCTTTAATCAAAGGCGCCAATACCTATCCTTTATAGATGAGGGGCAGTACCTTAGCAGTAGCTTCAAACAACTTAAGATTTTTTTCCTCTCTTGTAAGTAGTATGCTTGTAGTTTTCCTCTATTTCTCATTGCTCTGTTGGCCCACTAGGCAAACCAAGTGCACAACATCAACATCCTCCAAACCTTCACCTGCAATTCCATAGCAATTTCCAGTTGGGCTTGTTTCTCCCACATCTCATAGGGTTACCATCTTAAAACTTGGCTTGAACAACAATTATCCTCCTAATTTTTGTTTTAGTAGTTGAAGCATGTTTTCAAGTACATGAGTAACAAAACTATCATTTCAGATGCGTCAACCATCCATTCGTATTGCTAGGAATTTCCGACTATCAACCACTTCACCTCTTATTACAGATAAGTACCACCTTCAAAGACATATATCCATGATGACTTAAGAAGAACCCATCATCCAAACACCAGTAGCCAAATTGACCATCAATTAACTTAATTTCCTTTTTACTTCACTTTCTCTTATAAACCTAAATGTCACTCTTCTTTGAGTCTATGCTTATGACGTAAATTTCTCATTCATAGTGGAGGGATTACAATTGATCTAAAAAAACTGATGGTGTTCATTATAAACTACAAGCACTACTCTTCTTTTGTTCATGAAGTGAAAAAACCCCAATTACTCTCCTCAGGTTTTCTGTTTATAGCCAACACAATCACCTCCCCAAAAAAATCTTTTACTCTGATGGTCGAATTCTTCTGGATAGAAAGATATGCTAGATCTCAAAGGGTACGCACTCCATCATGATTGACATCTTTCCGCTGTTGTTTTACCTATATATGATAGCCTAACAAAGCATGACCTACACAAGATGGAAGGGGTATGAGGGCTTTGCCAGGTTATTATCCGGTGTTTTCTTATCCTTCTCTAGTTCTGCTAGTCTCTGGTGGGAAAATATTTTAATTAGATTAGTCTTTTATCTTGGTGCATAAGCGGATAATCTGGTCAGAAGTACAGGTATGGTATTCCTTGGACACTTTCTGGCTGTGATTCACATCCAAGGGGTGTTTGGATAGAGTGAGCTGATAAGAGAAGGCTTAGAAAATATATATAGCAGCCTACTCTTTCTTAATAATTGTAATGACATACGAATGGTTTGCAGAACTGATTTAGCATATAATGAATGTATATGCAATGGATTCAGAACAATCCCTCTTCAAAAGATACAAGTGAACAATAAATAAGTAAAAATAATACAACATTATCTCAGAACACTATAGCACACAAAAATACAAACTAAGGAAAAGAAACCTGCTTCGTGCTTAACAATTCTCTGTTTTACCTTCACTGTGTATTTCCTGTCTACTAAAAGATTTGGAGATTTCAAATCCCTGTGAACAATAGGAGGATTGCGTCTGTGGAGGTAATTCATTCCTTTTGCCTACATGAAAAAAGAAGCCATGAGTATTAATATATTAACAATAAAAACACACACAGAGAGGATTGCTGATATAAGGCGACTTAGATTTTACTTTGGCGACACCAAAATTCAAAAGATCAGGAGAGGAGACAAAAAAAACTGTAATGTTTGTACATGCATCGAAAGAGGGAGATCTGTTGACATCACAGGCATGACAGCAATACTATGTAAACTCTAATTGATTAAGAAACTTATTTTTTTGCTTTCAAGATCGATTGCATTGTGCTTATGAAAAAAAGAGAGAGAAGTAACAGGTTTGAGAACACCTGCTATAAAAAGGTTTCAGGTAGATACCACATCATAAGCCATACTCAGTCGTCGCCGCTCATCCAAGGCCTCTTTCGCACCAGATTTGTGCAACAGTCTATACAAACTACCTCTGCAGTTCAAAATATATATTAGAAAATTAGCCCAGCATACACATAATTAACATAATAAATGCTAAGATAAGGTTGTGCTCAGCTAGTTGGAATTTCAACTGTAGAGGCACCATACCTTGACAAATATTCTGTGACAATTGACAGGTTCGGTGGCTGAGTGACAGCACCCATAAAAAGAACAATATTTGGATGCCGCAGGCGTCTCATTATTGCAACCTAACGGAAAAGAGTGGATGAACAAAGTAACAGTTACTAAAGATATAATGCATACCAGGATAGATAAATCAAAGTAAGTGTTGGTTCTTCAATCCTGCATATAAAATACAAGAACTAATGCTGGGACTTACCTCCTGTAAGAATTCTGTCAACCTCTCCGGATGAAAATCTTGTTCTAAAAGAATTTTTACGGCAACATCCTGGAAGTAGTTAGATTTGTAAGCTTTTATGTGAAAAGAATGTTACTTGGATTGCAGTACCAAGAACTTCAAACCAATATACAGAATAACGATCAAGCAGATTAGATACAAATATGTGTCACGACTTGCTATTGCTGGTGAAAATTTAATAAGTAGAAGATGTCAACACAATACCCACATAGCTAAATAGTGCTGACATTGGGGACATAATCAAATAACTAGACTCAAAAAATCATTTTGGGTTCTAGCATCATGATATGAACTTTCTAATCAGGAATACGAATTGCTACTTAATATCATTAGGAGCACAACTTACAAGCCTTAAACTACGAAGCAACCAGCTTTATGCCATTAGCAGAATTTATAAGATCGTATTCTAAAAATTCATAGACTCACATCATGAATACAATTTGTAGTATATCAGCTGCTTAATGGCATAAGTTTATGCCATTTGGTAGATTCAGTCATCCAGGTAACTCATAAGATGCAACTACTACTAAAGCATTGATCTAAATAAGCATCAACGATCAACCTTTCAACAATGTGTCTAAAGGAAACAATGTAGCCTCTAACCCAAAGTAGTCAAGAACATGAATAACATTTCCACCGTGATGCCCAATCTAAATTAAATCTAAGTTATGTGTCACCATTTTTCTATTTATAACCAAGTGCAAATCCAAGTCCATATACTGAAGGCTTGTCTCTCACAATAAGCCAACAATTAGAAATCCTAATTTTAGTATGGTATCAGTGGTACAAAGGATGTGCCACTAACCTCAAGAAAACCTAACCCCACATCACAATACTCAGCGGTGACTAAGAGCAGTTGTTGTCTAGAGCCTCAGTTGAGGCAGCTGACCTAGCCGTCAGCTGACCTAGTTACCAAACCTTCACCTACCATCTCAAGCCAAGAGATGATTGCTACACATACATCCCTAACTTGAAGAAAAATCCAATACCATCTCAGATCTCCTGTTTTCCTGTTGGCCTGATGCTGCTGTTCCAAACAAAATACACAGTTATGTGGCCGCAATTCAGTGATCAGTTCCAGACATTAATTTCTGGCCAGCTTACATGTGTTCTTTTAATTTATTTCTTGTTCCATCTGAATTTATTGTTACTCTGCAACCATACATGATACTGATGTTTACTTCAATTGTTATCAATACTTGCTCAGCTAATTGAACCCTACTGCAAATGGGTCTTCAAAGCTTGGATAAAGAAGCATTTTTACCAAAAACCTTTGTAATCCCATGAACAGAAGCTTCATGATATAATGGCATTCTTGTGGTACTCTAGAATGACAAGGAACCCAAATCCTGAACACCGTATCTCTAGGATACCAAAGAACTCCAAATCATGTACACTGCCTAGAACTACGGATTATGAAGAGGAAGTGGCAACACCTTCAGTCATCATTTTCAGCCAAATCCTCCCTATCTCATGCATATTCTATTTCTAAGTCCTTATTCCAGGTGTGAGAAGGGTGTTTAAGTTCTCAAACGAACTTGTCTCACATTTCAGATGACTCCTGATATCTCCAGACCTTTGTTATTGTTACTCAGTCACTATATTCCAGATATCACTTCCTGTGGGTTGCAAGAGATGTATTCTTTAAATAGAGTCGATGTCATACAGCTTCTCCAACTTCACAGGTACATCAGTCAGTAGCACCGACACTATTGATCATCTAATGAGCAGTATATTCAGAAATTACAACACAAAATCAGAAACTAATCACAGAATATAACTTAATTACCGAATCCTGTTCCAACTCAAATCCCTTTAATTGTGGGATTCTAATCTATGGTATTTACAGCTATTGATTATCCTGAATAACGCTACAAATTCCCACACCATCCTAGTTATCAATGTCGATGTGTTATTTCCCACACAGGATGAGGAATTGAGAAACAAAGGCACTTCATTGGAAGGCAGTTTCAAGCTAAGCAGCCTACATTAATTGATAACTTTGTTCCAGCTTGAGAAGTGTTTGTATTCTCTTTGTACTCCACAAGTCTTCCATTAGTTCTAATTAGGTCTACAAGTCGTTATATTGTTTTGGCTTTGGTTTTGGTTTTGGTTTTGGTTTTGGTCTTATTTGGCAGTCGGCCCATTAAGTACTCTTTATATTGAGGTGTTGCTTCTCATAAGAAACCACCAATTACAACCCTACAATAATCATACATGCCTATCATCATCCCAACTCTCCAAATCTGTGAATGATGAAAGAAGCAGAATCACGAAGCATGCTTAAGGACATAAAGAGGTCTCTTTAGCTTGCAGACTTTACATGCCTCCACAGCCACAAACTCTTCAGAGCAAGAATTGCACTACAAATACCTTTTTGATATTGAACTAAGGTCGCAAATGGTAGATTGTTGCCTAAGCAATGACAAGTAGACAAAATCATCTTTGCTAAATGATGACTCGTCAAATCCTCTCAATAAGCCTGAGTATCCCTTAGCTACCAATCGAGTTTTCAACCATTGACAACCAATAGTCTTCGAATAAGAACGTCAAGCAGATCCAAATTATGATAATCCTACTAAAAGACATTCCCACACACGTTACTCATGTCCAAGCAAGATTTAAAGTCGATGCAAAGATATTGTGAAGTATTTGTGCATAAAGAGAGGTACATAGGCTATGAGACGTGAGGATGAACGGTGAGAAATAAAGTAATCAAGTCAATCAATAGGCTTGTCTATAGGCACATTTTTCTTTATAACAGGCAATGAGAATACGAGTGAGGAGCAGGTGTGGGTAAAGTAGTAGGACGCATACATGTGGATGGGAAATCGAGGGATGTTCTTGTCTGAGTCTCAAACAAGCATTCGAGCATCAATCGTATCATGAGTTTCTTCCTTTGTTGATATACCTAGACCAGAAAATTAAGGAACTATCATTAGCCAAAGAGGGTGGACACCATACAACGATTTTCGACCAAGACTCTAGGATATTCAAAAATCCTCATGACCGATCGACTAGGTATCACAAGAGGAAAGTGAGAACTATCCTGGACTTCAGAAAGCTATACCCACTAAAACAAAATATTCTTAAGAGAGAATTATAGCATTGTAAGTTTGTAACCTTGTGACCAAGAATAGAAACAAAAAAAATTAGAAACATAATGGCTCATCAAATTGAGTAATTTCATGACATAAATTTGAAATTTGCAGATGCATTAAGAAAACCCTAGCTTCAAATGAAAAAAAGGGTTATGTGGAAGAGAAATCTGGAAGTATTTTTCCTTTCAAGATCATAGAAGGTATGAAATTTATGAGGCAGCATGCTAAGAAGAGGGCATCCCCCAAAACCCATATGCAATATTACGAAGAACATAGGCGAGCAACACCAAATAAAATGTAGTTCTTCAGTTCTGCAATGTCATTTTGCTGAGTATGTACACACAAGAACAATCATGTAGCATGCTATCATATCCATAGATGGGTGAGATCATGTAAAATTATTCCTTCCTATTATGGCTGTGCAGGGTTATTAACAGAAAGCCCAAAATGATTCTCAACATAGGCAATGAAGTTTGACAACCAAAGAAAACAATTACACCCAAGATTATAAAAGAAAAAGCCGAGATGCCTGAGAATAACCATCCACAAAAATCACAAGTACGCCAAAATGCCGATAGTATCAATAACACATGAACGCCAAATACCTAAATGAATAATTTCTAAATACTACTAGACACAGATAAGCTTAAGACATAACCGCTTCTCGTTAATGAACACCATCTTCTAGGAATTTCCTTCTTTTTTTTTTATCTCACTTGCACACCCTGATAGACATCAACCCACTAGCCCAAGCCCAATACTGGATGACCACCCAAGGCCTTGGAAAGTTAATCAATGTAGGAGGAAGGGGCCAGGAGTAGGGCTAATATGAGAGGAGTTGTTATGAGGGGAGGAATACCATAAATATGAATGCCATTAGCAATAAGGGATCTTGTGAGAATTTAGCTTTTCTGTTAGAGAGGTCGGTTTATTCAGCTTGAGCAGGACAGTCCAACCTTTGGCTCCCTTTTGATTTTATCTTTGTACCTGATTTCTAGTAATCCAATGGCTTAATTCTTTTTGTTCTAGTTTGTGGTTTGATATTCTCGTTATCGTCTCTATCAATTTGGATCCATTACCAGAAAATCGAAGATGGTGACTCCAGATCAGGTGAGTACCCAATTGCAATCAAGGGTGGATGCACAGGAAGAGAAGATAGGATTACTTTTCAGTCAAGTGAAGGACCTATCCACATTGATCAACTCCATCAAGGAGATCGTTAATGAATTACCTAAATCCATTGAGAAACTGGCAACAGATTTCCAGAAATACCAGGGCAAACGGCCGATTATTGGTGATGAAGGAGATGCATCTGGGTTCAAGGAATCTCAAGGAAATGATAGCTACATCTCGGGTGCAAAAATCTCCAGTTAGGGACTGTAATATCTCATCAGAAACAATCATTTTGAAACACCTCTGTTTTATATGCCCAAAGTGAAGCTTCCCTTGTTTGAAGGTGTCGATCCCAGGGGATGGATCACCAAAGCTGAGCTCTACTTCCAGGTTCATCTTACTCCCTCTTCTCAGAAACTTAAACTTACCCAGATGTGTATGGATGGTTCAGCCCTCAATTAGTTCACCAATTTACTAATCAAACACCCTGGGAGCAATTTCGGGAGAAATTAATGGTCCCATCCGGTGGAACTAAATTCCACAACGCACACGAGGCATTAGGATCTTTGTATCAAGAAAGAGATATCAATGAATACATAGAAAATTTTGAAGCTCTATCAGCCCTCATCCCAGACCAGTCCGAAGAGCATAAATCGGGATGTTTCTTCGTGGCCTTCAAATCGATATAAAAAATTGGGTTCGAGCACTTCATCCTGTTACATGCGATCAAGAGATAGATCTCGAGCGTCACGTTCCAACAGCCACGTCCATTCACGGAGATGAGTCCAACACCAAGGGTGTGATAACTAGGTCTTG